TGTTAGTTGTGTTTTTATTGAGTTTAGAGAATGGAATGCACTCCGTAATTTTGTGTTAATGTTGTTGTTGTTGTTGTTTTGTATGCAAACAAAAGCAAAGAATGCAAGATAATTTTAGAGAAGAGAAAGGCTGAAAAAGCATTGCAAAAGCTGCAACAGTTGGAGAAGCTACAGCTGTCCGGAATTCAAGAGAATATAGCTGATGAAGATGCGCAATCAGCCAACATAATCACTCAAAGACAACGTAAGCCACTACGTGACGTGACAATATCACCAAAAGTGGGATCGTCTTCAGTGGGTGGAATTAATCAACTCGCTGATAATTTTGATGAGCATTTACTGATTAGTGAAGCTGATATGATGACAATGATGATGCTGCAAAAGAATCACGAGGATAGTCAAGAGTCGAGCCAGCAGCACCGACTGCAACAAACTTCAAATAATCGATCACTTGATTCGGAGAACTCAAGTCGTTCATTTCGTTCATTTCAACAACAACACAGTCATCAGCAACAACCCATTGTTGCATCAACACCCAAGTCAAACAATTGTACTCAAGCATCTCCGTCATCGAATTCAGATCAATTGATTTTATCAGCACAACGAAATTCGTCCGCATTTACAAGTTCGGATAGCGAGGAAGAATTTTTTGATGCAGCCTCTGAGATTTCGTCTGATGAGGCAGATGATTCACAACCATATCAAGCCCATCATAGTTTGAATACTGCTTCAGCTCTCGATGGTTTGTTCATTCATTTATTGCTTGTGTTGTTGTTGTTCACTGTATTTCATTTTTGGTCGCTTTCTTGTTTACCGTTTGTTATACAGAGCGAAAGTTTCCTTTTGAATGTGGTCGTGTACCACTGTGAGAATCGTCATCAGGGTGCGCTCATTTTGGGTAGAATCCGTTTGTTTTCCATGAAGNGTGTACCACTGTGAGAATCGTCATCAGGCGGTTTTACCCGTGCGCACATTTTCGGTAGAATCCGTTTGTTTTCCAAGAAGGAGTCCAAATATTCTGTGTCTATTGATTCTAGCTGTTGGCTTTTAAGAAATCCCAGTTTTCATTCGGTATCGGCAGATTTATCATGGTGAATGAGCATTTATTCCAATGTTATGGTGTTATGATTGTAACTGAAGCATGATGAGGTGCTAATGGGTAATTCTAATAGGGTAAACCTAATGGGTAATTCATTTGTCCATATCGCGATGCTTGCTGCTTTTTAGTGCATGTTTTTCAGTGCATATATTGATCATTTCAAAAAGTTTATTTATCATTGTGAATTATTGGTTAGTCAGAGTACGCAATGCTCACCCGTCGTTTATTTCTTCTCAGCTTGATGAAGTTGAGTTTGAAGTTTATGACACTGAAATTTAGTCGGTTAGAAGCTGAAAATATTGAATGAGACTGTTTTAAAATGATGATGAAGATTTTAGCATTTTGTGAACGAGACGAAGAAAAATCTTTAGAGGAGGAAGGTTAGCGGAATTTTAGCATTTCATTTGCGCTTTTCAGTGGATATATTCCCTTTATCGTTATATTCAAAAAATCGAACAATCTTTTTGAAGTTTGTGCGTAGTTTAAATTTAAATTGAGTTAAGTAAAATGAAACTATGCACTGAAATTGATGTTGTCCTTCGGAATTGCATGCGACACAAACTGCAGTTGTAGTGAGTGGTACCCTTGTCTGGTAATGGTTCCACTGAACATGAATGCTACGAATACCACCCTATTGGCAGTGCACATTTGTTGTGGCATGGTAAAATGTCTGCTCTTCAAGCATGTGATTCAAGCGAATGAGCCTTCAGATGCACATGAGACATCTTATTTTATAAAAGTTTTAAAGTATACATCTAAATTGCAGTAATGTTATGAAACAAAGCATTAACATTCTATGTATACTGCTGAAGAAATAGGTGAACAATTTCTGAATGAAACATTAGTAAAATAACTGTATAGGAAGAAACGTTTTGGTGTGTTGGGTGTAGTTCACTTGCAGTATCAGTGAAATCTTGTTCGGATTATTACATCACATTGTAAACATAGAATGACTGTGATAATTGGCATCGAAATAGCACTTTATAGAATCACGTTCGGGTGAAAAGGTGAGATCTCCTCGTTTGAATGCGTTGGCCGAATGTACTGAACCACCATTATCAAATCTTGAATATCAGGTTTTTACTTTTTGTTTTACTGTATCAGTTTCATTTTTTATTCCTTCATTTGTTTATTTATTATTTTCCTTTTTCGCATTTTATTACTCTTACATGTTGTTTTCAATTCCAAAACGTTCATAACTTTCAGCAATTGTGATAAATTAATTGCTGTTGAAATGTAAGAAACGATAGTGAAAGTATATTCAATGCGACTGACAGAGTAAATACCCTTTTTGGTATTTTTTTGCACGATTGATGAGAATAAATATTTTAGAATCTGACGAATTCTCCGCGATCAGCTCTTGGCAGGTCGATGCTGGATGATAATTGTAATCCATCAAGATATTCACCAAGATATAATAATACAAACAGAACATCGAATAATCTTATGAACAAAGTAATGTTTTCAAAAAAAATATTGTTGCATCACAGACTGATGATATCACGACAAATGAATTTTTTTGAAGTGATGCAGTTGTTGTTTTTTTTGCAAATAACCTTTTTGGTAACCTGTAAGTAACCTACAAAAACAATATTTCCTTTCAATACCAACAATATTACCAGTTTCTCTTACCGAGGAACTTTCATTTTTGTGAATATTTCTGTAGAGTGTTTCAACGTCGCCAAGAGATGACAGATCAGTGCCCAAGAATGTATCACCTCGCGTCTCGAAAGCACATTCAACAACTAATCCTGATTTGAGAGATATTGAACAAATAGTTGAAATGCAAGAAAATGGTTGGTTAACTTTCTTATAATTTCTTATTGAAACTTTCAATAATAATGAAATCAATTTCAATAATTCATTTCATCAGTTTCATAATTGGTCTAATAGAACAGCAATTTATGAGTGAATTTTGAAAATATTTGTCCAATGCGTTTTAAACGAACTTATCGAACTTTTCGCTTTCGATTCGGTTAGATGAATGTTTTATTAAACAAAAAAATGAAAATTCTCAACAAAAAACACTTCAGCGTTGCGCGAAGAATTGATGCAAATTCAAAGGAAGGTATCGTCACAGAGTGATCGAAGTAATTCCTCGTTAACACCATCCAGACCACGTCAGTAACTGTTTCAATTTTTTTTGTGTGGAACAGTTTTTAATCACTTAAGCCAATAGTCATTGTCACTCAATGTTTCAAGCCGATTGGAAGGTTTGCTTAGAAACATTATTGCTTCATACTGATATTGTCAACAAGTGAAGGATGACTACTCCTCTTACGGTCTACATTTTCGTCCGTTGACTGATATTTTATGTACTTATTAAACTCAAGGTAATCGTAATTATGTTCGCTTCAGGAAATGTACCGTCGGTTGAAAAACCGTCACCAGCACAACATAAGTTATCCAATCAAGCAGCAATGATTTCCTCGTCGAGATCGGTTGATTTTGCAAACGATTCAACGAATATTCAGTGCGCTTCGGTGCAGCAATCTAAGTCAGCATCGACATCATCCAAGCCTACAAGTCACACTTCTGTTGGTTTTTAAATTGTTGCGATATCATTGCGATTACATTATCATTTTCAATTCGTGCGATTCACGGTTATATTGAATCATTTTCACAGTGTTTTCTTTTTGGAATTCGAAACGCAAGTGTTTCATAGAACCGTATTCACGTTTGTCTTTGTCTTCGTGTTTCTGTGTGTCTATTCGTGATTCTTTTCCAGAATAATATCTTTTCGATCAAGATTCTAGAATTTTCCTCTTTATTTTTTGTTTCCAGCGACTACCAACACCGTTGAGAAGGCCAAGTGGCGCACGAAGTATGATACCAACACCAACATCGCGTATGGCGGTTCCAAAAATGTAATTTTCCTGGCGTTTCCATCTATTACTTTACTCATATTTATTCATTTACTTTTTCAACTAAAAAAGCTGTTCTAGTTTCGGATATTCAAATCGAATTGCTTGCTTATATTGTGCTTCAATGCAAACCTTCACATAATTTCTGAATATGATATGTAGTTTATGCTGTTGGCTATTTTGTTTTGTTTCAATGTATTAAACTTATTTTGAAGCAGTTTGAATTGAAGATTCGACTTATGAGACATTTCATCATTGATATGATTGTATCAAAAATTTTAGCACGCAAGAAACTCAAACGGGTTTGTTTCAAACAAAAGACAGAGTAATGATGTTTTTGTGTTGATCATTCCAGATGTGGAATTGTTTTGAATTGTTGAGTTTTGTGCTCCCTGATTTTCTCGCAAGCAGCTGCTATTCTTCGTTGTTGTACAGTTAATTTTGTACTCGGCAGTTTGATTATTTGTGAAACATTTGTGCTCTTTATGTCCCGAAATTCGTTCGTAGTTGATTGACCTACTGGCATTTTTATTCAGCAAATATCTAGGTGTGCAATGAGGAGAGGTTGAATAAATTTCTTCTTTCTACTCTTCTGATCACAGCTTTTGATACTTCGTATCGCTGTCGCTATCGTAGAGTGTTATTGGTTTGACCGGTTGCACTGCTCGAGCTTGTTGGTAGATGTGTGAGGTGAATTTGTGGAACTTGGTCGTAAATGATTCGTTCCAAGATTAATGGATGCTTGGAATACTCTATCTTATAATCAGGTATTTTAGAGCAGTCCGAGGATTCGGAGGAGGCAGCACACCATCACTCTTACCACCGAACAGCAGTGGAAGATCAAAGAGCGATGAAACGCAGTCAGAGTGTGGACCAAGTGAATGGGCAGATGAATGTTTTTGAGATGGCGAACGACGGTCACTTCATCCGTCATCCAATTTATTATTACCGACCTAGGCCATTGTTTGCTTCATTACCACCACGTCGAACTCTTAGCAGCATTTGGGGCGAATCCGATGAATATTTTTAATGGAACTGACTGAACGAATCGTAGATGTTTTTCATTTTGAGAAGATCATTTTGGATTTGCCGACGAGTATTCACCTTCTCTTGAGTTCTTGTACGCTTCTTTCGCGGCAGATACGTAGATTTTTGTTATTGCGACTCGTTGATTTTCATTATTGTCACTGTTTTTAAAAATTGAATGTTTATAAATATATTATGTCGCATTTTCGCTGGAGAAACAGAACGATCCGTAGGTACGATGCTTTTATTGTTTGCTTTCGCATTGCTGTGCACTTGATTCGTATTCATTTCGATTTGATTATTATTGGAGGAGACACGTTCCTCTGAATGGAATTCGATTCGCAATGGTTTTTTTAAAGAGTATTAGATAGTGAAGTACCAGCGATAATTGAATGAAGATGATGATATAAACAATCGCATATCGTATGTAACAGAATTAATTTGCACTTTTTCATTGTCTGTATCGAAAGTCGATAACCGAATTTTCTTAGTACCGAGATATATTTTAGATTACTTCATCGATTCGTTTGTTCGTTATATATTTATACTAGGTGTAGGTTAATTTGTATATTTGATATTCCATTAGAGAGAGTAACATTGAGATGAATGCAAAAATTAACAAACCCTCCTTATCAAATCGGAAACAAAGTTGTACCCTCAATCACTCATCATTTCTAGTTTTGTGAACTTCGAGAGATCATTAATGTTTCAGGTAGTTGCTTCATTGTTCGTTTGGAAAGATTTGACTTTCATCTGTAGTTTTTCTATCGCTCCGCATTGTGATTGTTTTACTGTTGTACTTTCCCAATCCTGGTATCAATGCCCAAATCATCATTTGTTAATAACAGTTGTTATAGATGTTGCTCATCACTGTTATTTTCTCTTACTGCTTATCCATTGATCACATTTCAGAGATTTGTGGATGAATCTGGATAGTAATCACATTTTGCTGCTTATATGATTAATTTGCAAATTGGTATTCAGTGTGTGTGTACGATAATTTCATCGCTTTATTCCTGTGTTTTATTTTGGTAATTCGTCGATGTTTTATTTGTATTGTTACTTATTCGTTCATCGTCACTTTGAAGTCTTTATTTATTTTCATCATCGGTAATAAAATACATTACGTAGAGACGTTGAGATGCAGTGCGCGTGATACTTGCAATGACCATCTTTGGAGGGATAAACTGAAGATAAAAATTTGAAGCACAGAAAAATGGTCTTGCATTATACCTTTCAGTTTTGTACGATGTTCAGCAGGTGATCAGAAGGCGGTGCTGCAAAGTTGTGATCAGCAGAACTACATCAAAAAGTGAGAAATAATTGAAAAAGAATAAGATACACTCAGAGGGGTATAGCTTGACATCACGTAACGAGTGGTAGACGAAAGCACCATCACACAAATAAGTGAAACGATCAAAATCGATGATAAATCAAGTCAGTGTTATCAAAAATTAACAATTTTCACCGTTACTGCCGACTCTAAGCCTCTTTATAAAATTTGTTTCTCAATGTTTACTTTTTACCGCTGTAACGATAATGGAAAGGCCTCAGGACTCATACTGCACATTATGTACTAAGAAAGATTCGAACATGATGGATATGTTCCAAGCAATGATAAGGTGATAAGCTTAGGCTTATATTGCTTCAAATCAATTCAGTTTTCTCTTATAATTAGTAAAGAGATATAGCAAGTTCAAAACAAAACGTGTCGACAAATCAGAACTTGTGAAAGAAACATTTGGAAAATTTTCGAAAGTTTTG